AATATATGAAAAATTGATGTGTGTACTCAAATGGAAGGTTTTGATGAGTGTAACATCGGGATGAGCTTATATCATTAAAAATGTCAATATTTCACATAAGATATAAGGCCATTTATTAATTATGTATCTAGAGATGTAAATAAAATAATAATTTTTTTTTTCAGTATTAATAAATAGTAAAAAAAAAATATTAGTTCTAATTAATCACCTAAATTTGATTGACTAGCTTCTAAATGCATCAACTTAGCTTCAGCTTCAAAAGAATTACACGCTCTATTTCCCATAATCATTTTGTCAAAGACTTCACTGGTCTTGTCAAAATACTGCAATTAAAATAAATTATATTATCCAGTCCCAAGGAACAACACCATTGAGCAATGCTTAATTCTATAAAATTACAATTAAAACTCCTTACTTCAGAAACGAGACGAAAAAATCGTTGGCAAGTAATTAAAATATTTCTTCGCCTTTCTAATCTAGTGGCATAACCTCTGCACACGAAATCCATGAAATCTTTTTGCGCTTTAAGGCTCTCAGTTAAACAGTGCTCTGGTAATTTATTTATTCTAAAAGTAAGTTGCGTATATCTGGCATAAGTTACCTGCAAGAAATAATTTTCAAAAAAAATTTTCATCAATTATTAATATTAATTATAACTTACTCTACATTCTCGTTCTAATTCTTCATGTTCACGTCGTAAAATTTCTGAAGAAGCGACATCGAAACCAACATTGCTATGAAAATTGAGCATTGCGTCAGCAGGACCAAGAATCCAATTAGTTACTCGATTAATACCTTGTTCAATGTCTTTTATTTCTTTCATTAATGTCAAATTAGTGGTCATCTCAGTCCAACTATTTTCCACGTCAATCTAGCAATCATAAAATTATTAAATTAATTCAAGTCTGTAACCTCAAAATCTATCTAATTAACTCACTTGATTAGATTCAATCATATCTAGAAGGTCATGAACTCTATGTATGGTGTCCTGAATATCCTGAGAGGTTTCACTACTCATATCACTCGCCAAAATTCGCCCTGTAAATTAAATAGAAAAAAACCAATTAATAATTATTTAAATCAAACAAATTATTTTTTCTTTACAAAAATAAGTACCAGACCTTCATGTAGAATATAACGACACATTACTTCCAATTCATCTCTGTTTTCTACATAAAACTCAACACTCTTTTCTTCATCGTTAGTTTCATCAATTTTTCCAAAGTCTTTTAATTTGCCTTTGAACTCATTAAGCTTTGAAATTAATTCTGCGGTACTCTTTTCATAATCTTCTACCCTCTAAGGAAGAAATAAATAAATCAAAAAAGTGTAAAATTATTTTAAAAAATAAAAATAATAATAATTAGCAACCTTGCAGTCACTAAGTGACAATAAGCTCATCCCGATGTTACACTCAGCAAGAGCTTTCATTTGAGTACCCACATGCATTTTTGATATATTTTTCATATATACATATATATATACATAATATATATAAATATATAAAATATATGAAAAATTGATGTGGGTACTTAAATGAAAGGTCTTGATGAGTGTAACTTCGGGATGAGCTTATATCTTTAAAAATGTCATTGGTTGACAAGATACAAGGTCGTTTTTTAAATATTGACATTTTTAAAGATATAAGCTCATTCCGATGTTACACTCATCAAGAGCTTTCATTTGAGTACCCACATGCATTTTTGATATATTTTTCATATATACATATATATAATATACATAAATATATAAAATATATGAAAAATTGATGTGGGTACTCAAATGAAAGGTCTTGAAGAGTGTAATATCAGGATGAGCTTATATCTTTAAAAATGTCAATAGTTCACAAGATACAAGATCATTTTTTAATTATGAATCTAAAGTTTATAATTAAATACAAAAATTAATATAGATTAATCTATAAATAACAATAAAGACTGTAGTTATTTTATAGCAAGAAGAAATTTTCAAGAAAATTTATTCTAGAATTAAGAATTATTCCTTTCTGTATAATAATAACAATAATAATATTGTACCTTCATAAAATAAAATAAAAAAGAAGAAATAGGAATAATAAGGAGAAAACTTACAGCGTATATAAACCTATAAATTAGAGAAGAAATCGCTCATAGCAAATAATTTATAATTTTTTTTTAAATGATAATAATTTCAATAATAACTTTTTTCCATAAAATAAAAAAGAAGAAAAATTCTAATTAGAATAATAAGAAAAAAGCTTACATCGTATTTAAATTAAAAATTAGAAGAATTAATAATTAATTTATAAAATTTGTCATGAATAATAATAATAATAATAATAATAAATTAAAAAATACTTACAACACGCATTTGAATCCAGTCATAGTGGTCATAGGCCTTAGTCCCTCCTAAATCACTTGAAACTTGAGCGGTATCCACATAAGAATATAATCTCGTGATAGAAATGTAAATGGGCTGTAAAAATACATACAAGACCACAAAAATTTTAATCTTCGTTTCCTATTCAGATAAAGTATGCTAGCTTAAGTTTCTATATCCACTATCCATATATGACACATAAACCGTTCACTATTGTGATTAGATATCCAAATAAATCATTCAGATTATTTATCCTAAAATTAACAGTAGCATTTAAGTACAAAGTACAAGACCGCAATACCTCGCCGTCCTTCCAAGACTTGGTGCAGTTATCAACTCGTTTCTCCCAGAAGCTATCAGGTCGAATAACAATCATACGAGCTGCATATTTCCCCACTATGTTCATGGACCTTTGGATGTACGACCTGGCCACTCTCCAGGATCCTTTCCTTGCGTCCATAATTAATGAAATTCCATTCTTCTTTGTCTCATCGCTAAAACACATCCAATCATCTTTAATTAAAAATCATCAATAATTTTACCAATAATTAAAATTAAATATTATTTTTACTTAAAAGTCGAAAGAAGATAAGCCAAAAGCTTTTCCAATTTATTGTCAGCAACAGATTCATCGGATGAGTAGATCGGGACATCAACAACAAGAATAGGCTTGCCTTCTCGATCTCTTCCGCCAGGCAGATAAGCCAACTTGGAGTCAAGTGTCTCCCGGACGTCAACGACCTTCAGATTACGACGTTCACTCATCTCTTAAAATATCCTAAATTCCAATGTACTAATAAATACAATCCGTAATCTGTTACAGGTAATGTAACTTAGTAAATACTTTTAATTAAACAAAATATTTATCTAGATCTATGACAAGCTGGTGTCGTGTTTTCAATAAACTGGTTCACAGATCAACGTCATAGTAAAATACCACGTGCCGATTATCAACCGTTCATGTTCTGACTGACATATAAACTGTAATTTTCCATCCAATGCCCCAGTTTCTTAATTATTTGTTGTTTTTATTTTTTTAATTTAAAACAACGTCATACTGTAACTCTCATTTCTTCAGTGTCATTATTTCTTCTCAAGTAGCCTTTTTTAGGCATGATTAACTGTAAATAATTAAATTTAATTTAATTAAATATAAAATTAATGAAAATTAATTTAATAATTTTTTAACAAATAAATTATGGCAAAAAAAATGACATGTAGAAATTTTAAAAAATTAAAAATGCAATTTTTTTAAAAGTTATTTTTAAAAACAAGTTTTTTTGTATGAAGATTAAGATAGCCATTTAAAAATTTTTAAGATTTTTTTTCATTAAAAAAATGATTAAAAAAAAATTTCATTTGTAAAAAACTTTAAAAACTGTAAGTGCAATTTTAAAAAAATAAATTGTTCTAATTTAATTATTAAAAAAAAAATTAAAAACTTCTTTAGTATTATAAGTTAGCCGACATTTTTAATTTTTTGATTTTGCTTCATTTATTAAATTAGAACTAAAAAATATTTTTTAAAAATTGCACTTATAGTTTTTCAAATGAATTTTTCTTATACTTTTATGTGATAATTTTTTTTAAATTAAACAAAAATTACAAAAATTTTCAGATGCCTTATTTTAGTAATGAAAATGAAGTTAGCCGACATTTTTAAACTTTTTTCGGAATAATTTTTTATTGAAAAAATTTCAAATTAAACATTCAAAAAAAAAAATTTCACATGTAAAAAACATAAAAAACTATAAGTGCAATTTTTGTATAAGTATCTTTTTAGTTCTAATTTAATTAATAAAAAAAATCAAAAATTTTTAGACGTTTGCTAACTTCAGTGTCATACTTTAGAATCATAATTTTTCAAAACAAATTTGTTTGTTAAAAAAAAATTAAAAACTCGCCAAGACTGCTAAATTTAATGTCATATGACACTAAAGTTACCAGTCTTAACAATTTTTTAATTTTATTTAACAAACAAATTAGTTTTGAAACATTATTTTTAAAAAAATTGCAATTTTAACTTTTCAAAATTTCTTCCTCAATTTTTTTTCCATAATTTATTTGTTAAATATCAGCTCAATTAATTTTCATTAATCCCATACACAACAAGTTTCAACTACTGTTCACTACACTGCACTGATTAAAAAAAATATCTTAACATTTTACATTCAATGTCAGGTTATGTTTTATATTGTGTACTTATTCACTTTCACATTCTATTCTATTCACCTTTACTCGTATTTTATTTTATTTATTAAAAATACATACATGACAGCAAAGCACTGGAATTGAATTTCGTCATTTAAGAGGCTCAAGTTACTAATTTATCCATCCAAGCATTATTTAACATTGAAGAAATATAAACACAGTATATAATACAAAGGTTGACATCACATTGTTTTAAATTCTGAAAAAAAATTTTTAAATAACAATTAATAATTTACAAAAGTGACTTTAATAAAAAAATAACAATAAATATTATTAATAAAAATAATAGTACAATTAAAAATATTTACACGCGACACAAGAAAGAACAACATGAGGTTTTTACGCGTTACTGAGCGAGTGTCTTCTCCAGCTTCCTTAGTAAGATCTGTCGTGTACCACTAAGAGGGAAACGGGAGGAAAACTTAAAAGCAATCTTCATTGAAAAAGCAACGGTACACCGGCACCGATTATCAAGAGAATATACAACATACTGTTGAATGTTGAATCTCCTTTGCCGCGCATTCAGTAACTTAACTCAGACTCAGACTCAGAGTCACAGTCAGTTACAGGAGAGTTAAGTGTAAGTGTATATAGTGCGTAGACCTGTGTTCTGTGTGTTGTCCCTTCTCTTCCGCATTTGGCGCACCTTTTTCTCCTCTTTATCACTCGGCATATAATATAATATAATACTGTAGATACCTACTCACGGGGTCTCTTTCTCTTCCACGTGCCACTCTCTCGATCGCCGGGGAAAGGTGCCGACCGACCGACTTGGAGCCAACTCCGGTCTTTACTCTGAAGAAAACAAAATGAAATTAAATGGGCATCAATGACATCAAGATCTTAGGTACAATGTATATATGTAATAATATAATGTACATTCATATTAATACTCGGCAGTTATATTAAGTAAGGTATGTATTTATTTTATGGGAAGAATATATCAGGACATACCTTTTTTTGTCAATTGGCTTTTCTTCTTCTCACTAGGTTATTTTTTTATTTTTGGTTAGAGTAGATCAGCAAGGATCAGTTACCGGTTTTATATAAAGTGCAAAAAAATTTTTTAACATAACGGAACCTTGACCAATTGATTTAAATTGTTACTTTCTTACACCGTTAATATTTTAAGGATTTAAAGTTATCAAATGGAGTTTTTTATTGTTATTGTTTTATTTTGGGATACTTTGCAGGATTTCTTCTTGATAATTTTTTTAATTCAACCTATTTTAGTTATAATGATTAAAAAAACATTCAAAAATTATGATATTGAAGTCAACTGACTCCTGTCAATTTTTTAAATTTTTATAATAAATCAATAACAATAATAAACATGTTTTTAAAAATTTCCAATAATTATTTTTTTTAATTTTTACATGTGAAATATTTTTATTAAATTTTTTTCACAATAATTTATACAAAGGTTTTTTTTTACTATATAAATATTAGATTGATATTAAAGATATTAATAATTTTATTTTTATTAAATTATAAAAAAATTTCTAATATTTGTCAAGTTCAGTGTCATCAAAAATTATTATAAAGAAGAAATGTATAAATAATTTGAAAGAAGAAATAGATTATTTAAAATATAGATCTTATTTAGAACAAATATGGTTTTTATAAAAGCTACTTGATGAATAAATGTAAATTTTGATAGTATTTTGAATCTTTGAAGATTTTTAATACCGTGAATATTTAACAAGGTTAAAATACGAATATTAGGTATTTTTATTGTTATTTCTTGATTTGATGTTACTTTTGATGATTTCTTCTTTATAATTTATTAAAATTGAACCTACTTCAGTTATAACTATAAAAAAAAAAAACATTCAAAAATAATTATAAAGAAGAAATGTATAAATACTTTGAAAGAAGAAATAGATTATTTAAAAAATTGATCTTATATGGAACAAATATGGTTTTAATAAAAGCCAAACTTGATGAATAAATATAAATTTTGATAGTATTTTGAATCTTTTAATGAGTTTTTTGACACCGTGAATATTTAACAAGGTTAAAATACGAATATTAGGTATTTTTATTGTTATTTCTTAATTTGATTTTACCTTTGACGATTTCTTCTTTATAATTTGTATAAATTAACCTTTCATAGTGACATTACTAAAAAAAAATCCTTTAATAGATAAATATCTTCATTGATAAAAATGTTTTGCTGAGATAACATACGACATGTGATAACAAGTTATTGTATTAGCGTAGGGATAAAAAAATCATATTTTATGATAATAAAACATAGATTGTAATAAATAATTTATATGTTTTGTCAAAGAAACAATTTCTTTAATACAGCAATACTTTATAGTTAGTCCAAGAAAATAGTTTTGCTAAATTAATAAATCAGGGAGAGATACCAATGTATTAGTATTATATTGAAATATTTATTTTTAATATTCTATTAACTTTTAAAAAAATAACATTAACTTATTTCAAATAAAAAATATTAAAAAACATTTTAAGGAAGAAATGTAATTTAAAAAAAAAACTTTTTTTAAAAAATTATAAAAGATCATAATTTATTTTTACAAATTTTTATTATTGCTCTCAAATAACTAGAGAAAAATAATGATTAAAAATTTTAATTTTCAATTTTTCATTTAAAAAACTTTCATGACCTTGAAGCAAAAAAATCTAGCATTGAAAAATCATACATTAACGCAACAAGTGTCACCTACAAATCGCGCAATCTACAAAATTTATTCTTCAAACAAAATAGTCTTCATAAATTTATTTGATAAACACTCAAAAAATAACTCCATATATTTCTTCTGAGTACAAAGTAAGTATTACAATATTATATACATAAAAGCATATTCTTCTTGATTTAAATCCCTAATTTGATTTTTCAGTGCCGGCAGTTAAGTTAATGTAGTTGGCCAGTGTGGGTATATCACCTTCGGAGTCTGCGCAAGTATAAGCTCTCACCCGAGCATTCGTTTTTCCCAAGAGCCAGTGCTGCCCCGAGGCTCCGCGCTATATCGAGACACCCGCGAGTTAGTTTTACTATTATAACCAAGGTGGAGGAGTGAAGCAACTAGCTCATTTGAGCTAGTCTCCATCATCATCATCATCATCATCATCTTCATCATCATCTTCCTCACCATCATTATTTCTTCCTTTGATCTGCTGGTCAGCAGACATAAATACAAAAGCAAATGGTGCATGTGAGGTTCAATTCACAACGGTGATCTCATCATCATCATCATCATCATCATCATCTTCATCAAAAAAAGAGCGATGGGGAATGCATCAGCTAAGAATGCAAGAAGACTATCAACTTCTACCGGAAGTAACTCCAAGAGAGTCCACTGGGGTGGTCCAGGTACGACGTGTGACTGGTGATAAACTGCGTCAAGACAAATTAGATTTAGATTTTAGTAACTTAATTTTTAACTTTATTGTCTGATAAATATATAAATACTTGTAGCTTAGCTTAGCTGTCTGGTGGTTAAGTTAGGTCCATTGTCGTCGTCTATAACTAAACAGAGCATCTATACTATAATATAACACTTTGGTATCTATAACGAGAGCGCATCATTTGGCCGCGGACGAAACACTCAAACTCAAAGTGACCCGGAATTTTACTAGCTCTTTTACTTCTAGGCATTCCAACTTTACGTATATTCATTCTTTCACTGTTTCACTATAAATATTTAGATCATCGCTTTTATAAAAAGACACCACTGCTTTTTTTTTATTTATTTTCTTCATTGATTACTTAAGGGGAGATTTTATTTTTTGGATTTTTTGTAAACATGTCTAGTATACTTTTATTTATTCTTTAATAATTCAACGACGCTTTACATTCGTGCAGTCGATAGGTATTTTTTTTTATTTTCATTTTTTATTCTTCCTCTCTTTCTTCTTCTGGCAATACAAGCCGTAGAAGAGGAAAGAGATCGCCGGAAGACAAGAGAACGAGAAAGAAGAAACTAGCCAGTGGTCTCGAGCTTGCCAAACGGTTTTCCGTTTTATTTTTGGATCCACGTGCGCGATTGTGTTGGAGACGCTGTAACTAAGTACGTGAAAGACGAGACGGAATTATTGTGTAGCCTGATGTTTTTTTATGGATTATTTCTTCTTAATTTTTTTTACAATTATCCTCAAATCAGCAGACATTTTCAAAATTTTTTATTGATATTAAAATAAGCAGAAGTTTGAAAATTTTTTTTTAAATTTTATTAGCAAATTTTAAGAATTTCTGTGTATTTTTTTAATAATAATTTCTCATAAAATTCATGATAATTATCAGATTTTTTCCGGCTTATTTCAGCATCATAAACTTTTTTTTTTTAATTAATTTAATATGAAGAAAATAATTTAAAAAAATTTATTAATAAATTTTTAGAATTTCTACGTGCAATTTCTTGTTAAATTTTTCTTTTGTAATAATTTTCAACTTTAAAAAATTCTAAAAATTATTAAATAAATAAATTAACACTGAAAAATTATTTTTAAAAATTGCATTCATAGTTTTATAAAAAATTTATTATGAAGAATATATTAATTTAGGATTTTTTTAGGAGTTCCAGCACCACCTGGAAAGCCAGTCCTAATTCCTGGATCATCAGACGACGCTCAACCGGACATTGTCGGCATTCGCTGGGAACGATCGCCAAGTAATGGTGGTGCTCCGATAATTGGATATTTAGTCGAACACCGACGCATGGGGTCGCCTCATTGGGTCAGATCGTCGCCAAACCTTTGTCCATTTCCTGAATTGACTCTCAGTGGACTAGAACCAGGATGGAGGTATCAGTTTCGCGTGAGAGCGCAAAATAGCTTAGGAATCTCTCAACCGAGTGAACTGTCAGATCCGCTGACAGTTACGCTTCAAAGATCGGCAGCTACTATACCACACTTTGAATTGGAACTTAAAGACACTACTGCACTTGAAAATGAACAGGTAATTATTGTTTAATAAAAATTAAAAAAAAATTATAGTTTTTAATAATTACCAAAATTTTGAATGATTTTTTTTAATTTTATTACAGGCAGAATTTGTTGTAAAATTTTCCGGGTTACCAATTCCAAAAATTTCATGGTTCAAAGACGGCTTTGAAATTTTTAGCAGTAGAAGAACAAGAATAGTGACAGAGAACGGTAAAAGTACACTTCTTATCCATCAAACAGCGTTGAATGATGAAGGTGAAATAAAATGCACGGCTACGAATCGTGCTGGGCACATTAGTACTCGCGCGAAACTTATTCTCGAAGGTAAGAAGAAGAAATATTAAATTATCTTGACATTTTCATCATAATAATTGAATAATAATTCAATTTTTGATTAAATTTGTAGCTGCACCACGAATACGGCTTCCCAGGCAGTATGAAGATGGACTCCTCTTCGAGCAAGATGAAGCAGTCAGACTGAAAGTATCCATAGCAGGGAAACCTGCGCCTAATGTCACCTGGTTACACGACGGTGAAGTTATAAAACCAGATGATAGACACATTATCGATGCGGCTGACAGTGGAGAGTGCTCAATGAGGATACCTGCGGCTAGGAGAAAAGACCGCGGAGAGTACACCGTGAAAGCTGTTAATAAGCTTGGTGAAGATATCGTCTCATTTCTTGTCACTGTTACAGGTCATTTATTTTATTTAATTATTATTATTATTATCCATATTATTGAGAGAATGAGCAAAAACTATTGACATTTTTAAAGATATAAGCTCATTCCGACGTTACACTCATCAAGACCTTTCATTTGAGTACCCACATCAATTTTTCATATATTTTGTATATTTATATATATATTATATATATGTATATATGAAAAATATATCAATAATGCATGTGAGTACTCAAATGAAATCTCTTGATGAATGTAACATCGGGATGAGCTTATATCTTTAAAAAGGTCAATAGTTAAGAAGCGACCTTGTATCTTATGAACTATTGACATTTTTAATGATATAAGCTCATCCCGATGTTACACTCATCGAGACCTTTCATTTGAATACCTACATCAATTTTTCATATATTTCATATATTTATATATATATGTGTACATGAAAAATATATCAAAAATTCATGTGGGTACTCAAATGAAAGCTCTTGATGAGCGTAACATCGGGATGAGCTTATATCTTTAAAAAAGTCAATATTTAAGAAAGTACAGTGCAATTTAACAAAAGTCATTATTTAATAGAGCAAAATTTTATTTATTTATAGTTCACTAGTTAGTATTATTATTATTATTAAATTTTTAAATTAATATTGTAATTAATGTGTAATTCTTGACTACTAGATCGTCCATCAGCACCAGGAAAGGCAAAAATTGCAATGACCTTGGGCAGATCCGTGACATTGTCTTGGAGCGAACCTGAAGATGATGGTGGCTGCAAAATAGGAACATACATTATTGAGTATTATCGGGTAAGTTTGCTAAAAATATATTTTTTGTCGGAGCGATAAATCTTTTTGGTGATTTATTCTGGACTTGTTTTTATTCAGATTGGTTGGGACGTCTGGCTAAAAGCTGCAACTTGCCGGCAACCAACGACAACCTTGAGCGAGCTCATTGAGGGCTCGGAGTATAAATTTCGCGTTAAAGCTGAAAACCCATATGGTGTTAGTGATCCAAGTGAAGAAAGTGATGTCATCTTCATTCCAGACCCAAAACGAGGGTAAATATTTTATTTAAATTTAATTACCCAAAAAAATTCTTTTTATTTCAGTTTGCTACTGAACTGTGCTTTTAACTTTTCTAAACTATAATTTAATTTGGTACCATGTGTTAATTAAAATTTTTTTCAGAATACATGCACCACCTTTACGACCAGATAAATCACAAAGTCAACGAGAGATCCACCGAGGCAGAACTGAAAGACGTGATCAAAGTGAACCGGCTAAGAGAACTCGTAGCTTAACACGTGAAGAAGCGATTCGTGATAGTCATGCTAATGAATTTCAGACTCCACCTTCCAGATCAGCATCCGCACATAAATTAGTTTTGGGCCCGCCACCCAAACCCCCGCGTGCTGATAGCAGAGTTACTTTTTCAGATACCGTTTTTTTGCATCTCGAAAAGCCTCTTGAAGACGATGATGTACCGGTTGCACCGGCCAGGCCAAGAACTAAGCGAGACAAGGTTCAACACTCGCCTCCGGAGGATAAGATAAAGGAAAGGCATCAGGTAAATTTTATTTTTTTCATTTCCATGAAATAAGTAGTCAATCTATATTATTAAAAGAATAAGTAAAATTTTGTGGCCAGTATATTTATCTCTAGATACATAGTTAAGAAATGACCTTGTTTCTTGTGATCTATTGACATTTTTAAAGATATAAGCTCATCTCGATATTACACTCATCAATACCTTTCATTTGAGTACCCACATGCATTTTTTTATATATTTTAAATATATTATATATATGCATTTATGAAAAATATATCAAAAAGTCATGTGGGTACTCAAATGAAAGCTCTTGATGAATGCAACATCGGGATGAGCTTATACCTTACAAAATGTCAATAATTAAGAAATGACCTTTTATCTTGTGAAATATTGACATTTTTTAAGATATAAGCTCATCCCGATGTTATACTCACCGAGACCTTTCGTTTGAGTACCCACATCATTTTTCCATATATTTTATATATTTATATATTATATATATGTATATATGAAAAATATATCAAAAATGCATGTGGATACTCAAATGAAAGCTCTTGATGAGTGTAACATCAAGATGAGCTTATATTTTTAAAAACATTAATTAAATAATAAATTTTAAAAAGTCTCCAAAAAAAAAAAAAATTACAATCAATCTAATTTAATATATTTAAAAATTTCTTCCAGACAATCATTGTACCAGAGAAACTACCAAGTCCTCCAGTGCTTACAAGACAAGCCACAATAGACACTTTCGAAAGGCCATATGTCCTACCAATCGAAAAATCCCCTTCTCCACTTCCGCCAATACAAGCTCACAAAGAAGAAAACCGTCTGAATAAACCCACCCGACCTTTTTTACCCCGCGAGGCAACAGAAGACGAAGACGATACAAAATTCCGTGACAGTTCCGAAATAATGCTCGTACTTTACCCAGACGAGGATGCTTCACCAGGAAAGCGCAATCCTTTGGTCAGATCATCTTCAGACGGCGAAGCCGAAGCTGAAGAAGACGAAGATTTACTTCCACCCCCAATGTCCCTATCGTTGCCCGAATTATTCAGCGCGAACCACCAAGTGGTCGAAATTCTCCGCGAAGCTGTAAGTTCCACAGAATTACTCCACGAGCGTGCAATGGAGCGATTTTACAAAGCAGTGGCTGTCGAAGAAGCTGAGGCTGCTAAAAAAAGTGACTCGGTAGTAGACAAACCCAAAGAAGGCTTGGACTTCATTTCAGGTCGCTTGAGAAGCACCCGATTGAAAAGAAGACCTTCCTCAGGTTCTCCAGTTGGAACTCAGGCTAAAAACAAATGGACCCGCCGGCGGTCCAGCGAAGGACAAACTTCTCCTCAATTACGCAACCTTCCTCCAAGTTTAATGTTACCCGCGCCTCAGATAATTGCCTCAGATCCCAATTTGCATGAAGAAGATCCCCCAGAAGTTCTCAAGCCAGCTTCTCCAGCAACTCTTGCTAGCTTACACCACTGGGACGATAAAAATATGCCTTTAGTTCCTGAACATCACGCGGAAGAATTTATGCTGGAGCCTTCTGAAGAATCTTTCACCCGAATTGAGTACCGGCGCGATGTAAAAACTCCTGATAGAGAAATTGCGTATGATTCTATTGTCGCTGATGATTACGAAGAGTCTACTGATGCAGAATCTGAACCTGAAAGCGACTCAAGTGAAGATTTAAGGACACTCAAGTCCAGGATTCTCGCCCAGCCGATTATGGACGAGGAGGACACTTATCATCCGCGTGGGCGGCCTATTTTATATGTACCACCTCCTGATCCTGAGCATAGGGTTCAAACAATTGATATTGTCCCAGCCAGGCCTTTTTATAATGTCTCTCCCAATAATAACAATAACAACAACAATAGTAATCAAATTCAGCCTAAATCTATTTTAAAAAAACGTACGGAGGAAGATCCAGTTCCTTTAAATAGCTTCGGAAGACCAATTCCTCCGGAAAAACCAATAGAACGCCAGGAGAAAAAAGAAGTTCCTGTGGAACCTCCTGTTACCTTGAGGAAGAAATCAGTAACTGATTTGTCTGATGGAGCAGTTGCTAATAATAATAATAATAATAATAATAATAATAATAATAATAATAATAATAATAATAATAATAATAATAATAATAATAATAGTAATACTCCTGTTATGTCAGAGTTAGATAGTGATAATGCAAGTCTTTTAAATGCTGCTGAAGTTGCTAAAAATAGGAGGCGCTCTAATCAAAAACCAGTTGTTGAGAAGAAATCTTCTGTTGAAGAAAAAGAAGATCTGGAAGCTAGGCAGGCTGTTGTTGATCATTATATGGAAATTGTTAGGGAATATTCTCTAAGTCATGCTGTTCATCCTGTTAATTATTCTAGATATTCTTCTAATACTTCCAATGGAGCTATTACTACTACTACTAATAATAATAATAATAAAAATAATAATGTTAATGATAATAATAATAATAATAAGGAGAATAATAAAGTAAATTCTGGATTAATTCCAAGTTTGAATATTCAGACAAAACAAATTGAAAATATTACGTCGAAAAAAGAAGAAATGGGAAGAAGAAATAATTTAACAAGAGTTACAACTGTTGATAGTTCTTCTTCTTCTTCTATTCCAAGTGCAAATATGGGGCAGGAAAATTTGAGATCCAGCAGAGGACTTTCTAGAAATAATGAAGCTACAATATCGAGATCTAGAAATGTTTCTACGGAAAGAATGAGGTCGTCTTCGAAAACTAGAATATCAGAAGTGGATAAAGGTCCGTCGAGGTCTTCTTCTAGAAATAGGAAGCGTGATCTTTCAGGAAATAGAGAAGCTGGGTCGAGATCATCTTCGAAGCAGAGAGGAGAGACTAGGAAGATTTCTTCGAGGAATAGTTCTAGGGAGAGATTCAAAGCTGTTGATGTTAGTCCAAGTGATTCGGAAACTTCTCAGAGGATTGTGGGGAAGAAAATTAGTAGGGAGAGACCGGAGAGATTTAGGAGGAACTCGAGGGCCTATGATAGGCCTGATAAGAACAGGCTGGAGGCTTCAGGTGTTATTAGTGAGCGACTGATGGCTGAAGCTCATATTAATGTCAGGTCTTCGGTTAGCTATGTTATTGATTTGATTATTCTTATGGCTGCTATTTATCTTTATTTGTTTAAAAATGAACTTTTTGCGATTCCGTTTATATTTCTTCTTATCTATCGGCAAGTTGAGGAAGATATCAGAGGATGGATTCCTAAATGGTGGAAGGCGAAACCGAAAGATAATTGATGAATTAAATATTGAAGATTTTATTTTAATATTATGAAGTTATTTTATTTTCTGGTTATCATTAATAAAATATCTATTTATAATATATTTATTTAATTAAGACTTTTAAGTATTTATGAAGATTTGTAAAGGTGATTTAATTATTTTATTTAAGAGGTTATTATAATCTACAGGCAGTAAATTTTCAAATTTTAATGATTTTTATTATTCATTTCTTCATGAGATATTTGTTGAAATTTTTTGAGAAGAAAAAAGCAATATTAGCACACAGCTGACATTATTTTTTAATATCAAATATTTTTTTTTTAATTGAAAAAACTAAAAAAATTTTTGTCTATAGATTAGAATAACTTCTTAAATAATTGAACCAAAGATTGTATCATGTGACAGTGTCACCTCAAATTTGTATCTTTAATAAATAAATAATAATAATATTAAAAATATTAACAATAATAATAATAAAATAAAATATTATATACATAATTATTGTTATTGAATTGTATTAAATAAAAATTGGAATAATAAATAAAAAAATAACTGTAAATAAAACAAAATTGTTTTAATTGAAATAAAAAACTATAAAATAGAATTAAGAAATGACCTTATATCTTTAAAAATGTCAATAATTAAGAACTGACATTGCTATCTCGTCAACTATTGACATTTTTAAAGATATAAGCTCACCCCGACATTACACTCATCGAGACCTTTCATTTGAGTACCCACATCAATTTTATATATATTATATATATTGATATATTTCACAAATATCATATATATAAAATATATGAAAAATACCATGTGGGTA